GAAGCATCACTTATCCCCATACATCCGACTTAAGCCCCCGAAACGACCTGGGTTAGGGCCTAGGGAGTAACAGCGGGCTCCAGGACAGGGTTCGGGTCTAGGGTACCGGGCAACCGGGGTCCTAGACTCAACACCCTCACCAAAACCAGACAACCTCGTCACTCGAGTCACTTCTCGATTTTGCTGTGTCATCTTGAGCCACATGTAGTGGCGATGCTAATCTTCTCAAGTATCGTTCCTGCAAAAGCAAAGAGTCATCCTTGCGCAGGGGTCATGCAGCAATCAGTCTGCCACATTCTTCAACTGATCTTGCACAGCTGCTGTCAATGCTCTCTGCAAACACACTCCTCCTCACACGACAGGTCAAGTTGCCTGGAGAGTGCTCAAAACGTTGAAGAGAGCTAGCATCTATCAAACACTTACGCGCTGCTGTAGGGCCTTGGGTCCTACGTTACTGCCATGCCCCCGTGATGGCCAGGCCTCGGAGCCTTTTCTTCTTTCGAGGTGCTTTATTCAGTTTTTTCCCCAGTGGGCTTTTAGACTACAGCAGCTCATCACAATGAATTACACCCCGTACTAGTCAGTGGACGCTCCAAAGGTGTGCTCATGCAAATCTGCGCTTGTATTATACAATAGCAGTCAAAAGGGGCTCACCAACGACCAGCAGTAAAAACTCATGAGAGACTCAGCTGCATCAGATAAGCCACAGGTATAGGACCCATGCAAGTGCTTCGATTGCAAACGGTTCCCGATGTCTTCGTAGTGCCAAAAACGTGTCTCAGCTAAGTTGTAGATTGTCATCATGTACTCTGCAAACACCAATGGCTTTGCGGAATTGCTCCAACTTCAACCGTGGAAGAGTTTTGGTAAGAAGGTCGGCTGTGAGCTCGGAGCCAGGCTTGTGCGAAACTGCAATATTTGACTCTTTCAAAACATCTCGTACCCATGACGCACGAAGCCCATAGTGCCTGGTCCGCCAAAGCGTCTCCTGAAAACGTGGTTTTGTCAAGGATGCAATAGATGCTGCATTGTCGCCCATGGCCAGCTTCTCACTCACCTCTCCAACTTGCGTGACATAGCTTTCCATCCGCAACATGTCAGCTATGGCATCGGCCATTGCCCCGGTTTCCGCTTCGCATGTGGAAAATGCTGTAAGAGTTTGTCGAATCGATTTATACATCAAGGTGTTGCCGCCCCAACGCAACAGGTAACCTGACCGAGAGCGCGAGGCTCCACTTCCGAACGATGCATCCGACTCAAGAGACAAACTTCCACCAGAGTTAGGCGCAAACCAAATACCAAAAAAACATGGTGTGTCGGATATATTTCCACATGCCAACGACCTTTTGAAGCACCATGTCTGGTCTTAAGACAATCATCGTCGAAAGAATGCCACATGTTGCTGCAATGTCGGGTCTTGTCTTGGTCGCCAACCACATCAACGTGCCAAGTTCGCGCTGCGCTTGCTTAAGAAGTTTTGGATCACATTGCTTTTCATCTCCCTTTGAGACTTTTCCCTCTTCAACTTGCGGCAAACACGGACTGCCACTCAAGTGTAGGTAACCCCTCACGTTCAACTGCTTGACAACCCAACGCTGTTGTGACATAGCCACTCCCCCATTGTGGAAAAACATCTGAATGCCAACAAAGACCAACTCAGACTTTGCCTTTACTTCAAGTGTTCCACGCTTCCACGCTTGAGTCGGTTCACGAGACAACATTCCCTGCAACCTCCCTTTCCAGGATTTCAAGACGAACTCTCCAATTCTCAGGATCGCTTCTGTCTCGCCAATAGCGAGAACGTCGTCAACAAAAACGCATGCGACTGCAACAAGCTGTTGAGCATCACGAGTTGTTTTTAAGAAAACGCCGCCAAACCCTTTCATGGCCTGAATCACCAATGTAGGAAGAAGATCCCCTGCAGCTGCTTCAAGAACTGCTCCGTCCAAGATGGAGTCACGAAGCTCTTCCCATCTCGCCGGCGACTGGCGTAGTCCATATATTGCACGCATGGCTCTCAGCCACACTCCTTCAGGGATCAGTCCAAGCTTCACCAAAGATTTTGGCGGCTGCATCAAGATAACTTCTTTTCCTGTCAGCACCGCATTGAGAAAGGCAGCACTGATGTCGAGAGACAAAGCGCTCCACGAAAGGTGAGTTGCCAGCAACGTCAGCATCAAGCGTAAGATCTCCACTGGAACTGTCTCCGCCGCGTTGGCATCTTTCATTTCAGGCTTCACCTCCTCAAAATTCCCGCAAACACACAACCGAACCTTTGGCTTAAAGCGCTTCTGCTCAAGAGCTTTCACTTCTGAAGCGGATTGTGGCGCTTGCAGGCTCTTATTCCCAAGAACCTTTCCAGCGTCACCACTTGGCTCACACTTGTCATCCTGCATTAGCAAAGGCTTTCGAGTGCACACGACAGTCATGGGAAGCACCTTGGGCAAGCGTTCATGTGGCCCTAGACCCAATTCCTCTCGAGCGCTACTGATATTCACCTCCACCCACGCAGCGTTTGTGGTCATGTTCAACACTTCATCACCAGCAGCTTTAATCCACGGCTGACGCTCTTGCTCAGTTCCGGTGAAGAAAATGCTACTTGGAACAGGTTCGCCAGTGATCTCTTCCTCAGCCAAAAGACGAAGTGCGATCTCCATCTCATTCATGGCGTCCTCAGTACCGGCATCAAACACTCTGTACCAGTTGTCCTTGCTCTCCTCCTGAAAGGGCTCATCTTGCTTCCCTGCAGCTGCCACTGCAAGTTCGCCAAGCTCTGGGCCCACCAAGAAACCATGGCCAAAAAGACTGAACAAGAGTTCTGGCTTCAAGTGTGCGTTAAAACGCTGTCTGATGATCTCTGATGCTGTATTCCCGTCGTTCCATGCCTGTGCTGTACCAGTGGCCTCCTCAACGGTGATCAAGTCTGCAGGCGGTGCGTCCCATCGAATGTCTCCGCAAGTGCTAATCCAAACAACCTGGTCCTGAGGGCCTTTTTCCAGCCTCCAACGTGCAGATTGCTTGTCAATGAGCACCGGCATGCGAACCACCCTGACAGAATTGCGTCCATTGCGAACAACCATTACTCTTGCACCTCCGGGCGTACGTTCATCGTTAGCCAGGAAAACCCCCTCTTCAGCCTTTGGAGCAAAAGGATGGGCATCAGTGCTAGAAGGCTTTCTCACCAGTACAGCATCTCCCATGTGCGGTCGGTCTTTGGGAATAACCAGCCCTATGGCACGACATCGTCTAAGAAAAGTCGCTTCCAATATGGCCTCATTCCACAACTGTAGCGGCAACTGAGCATGCAACAAGAGTGAGCCTGCCGCCTGCTTCAGTATGCCAACTAAGCGTTCTGCCCTGCCGTTTTGCTGTGGACAATACGGAGCACTGGTAGTTGCCCATATACTGCAGCTCTCTACCTCCTTCAAGAACGCTCCTCCCACGAATTCCTTGCCTGCGTCCGAGTGAATGCGAAACACAGACGGGGTTCCCTGCACCAAAGAGATTATCTGAACCATGACCGAAACAAGAGCCTTTGCCACTTCAGAAGACTGTTTGGTCTGCAGAAGTCTGGAGAAAGGTATGTCATCTCCGTCAACACTAAGGTTCGCTGCCAAAAAATAGCGGTGGCCAGAGAAGGATTCAGGATGTGGTCCTGACAAGTCAAGAGACAATGTTCCACGGGCCACATCCTCAGCAGAAAGACGCCTGCTCTTTCGTTTGTGCCCTGCTGATTCAGAACACTTCGGGCAGTGCCTCTCATACAGACCCTGTGAACACTTGGATCTCAACAACTGTGTCGCCCTCTCTCGCGCAGCCTCATCGAAGCTCGAACCAAGTGGTTTCTCTTCAACGGCACACGGGGTCCATGGATCTATCGACTCGAGAGCGTGAGACAGAAGAGTGACTCCACACACCCTACACCTCCCCGAACTCCCGGAAGCCAAAAAACCCTCAAACCCAACCAACGCATCATCGTCATCATCTTCATCATCTGAGTCAGAGATGTGATGTGATGTTGCGTCGGTGTTTCTGTTAGTGCTTTGTTTGGTTGATGCTGGTGCTTGCTGCGGTTTTTGCGCTGGCAAGTTGAAGTTCAGATCTCGCAGGCGCTGATACACTTCAAGGTCTCCTTTGTGTAAGCATCTTGGTGTGTAGCAGGTGATGATGCATCGCACTCCCTTGTGTCTGTCTGCACCATGCCATGCTCGAGCATCGAATGTGCACGCCTGCTGGCTCACAGTCAAGAGCTTTCCAACCTTGATCTCGTCACCTGAAATTCTCCGCTTCACTGTGCCATTGCGGTCTTCAATCCACAATCTTCCACCTTCGAATTTCGTCACTCCGATCAGCCCACTCATGGAACCAACCTCATTTGTAATGTCACGATGTGGCGCCAATGTAGCGTCAACTGCAATCTGAAAAGCAGCGTAAGTGAAGTCGGGAAGTTCCTGCTGAAGGAATGCGTTGACCAGCTTGCAGAGATTTGGTCTCTGACGTGTCAAGTTCGTGACTCCCACTATTCCTCCGTGGCAGTAGTATCCAAATATCCACATCTGGGTCCGTCTGGAGGAAGTTGGAAGCGCTGCACTCCTTATGACCTCCCACACATCTTGATATGTGATCGGCCCTTTAGACAGGACATCGCGCGCCATTGCTTCATTTTGAATGACCTCATCCTTCAGCTCCGCACCCACGCAAGCTACTTCATCATCCCAGGTGTACTGCATCAGCTCTTCAAGTGTGCACGTTTCGCACTCTGTCCAACCATCATCACCCCCACTGGCCTTGGCTGACAACGCTGAAGAGGATTGCGTCTTGAAGTACCTGGAAAGCATAATCCTGATTGGTTTGAAATCCTGCCACGTGAGAAATGGTAGGCCATTCTGAATACTGCATCTCACTGACTGCTTCTCGCCATGCTGATCCACATAACTTACCACTGCACCACGTTGGTTCCAGCAAAACGTGCCACCTGCATCCACCAACCTGCGGACACTCAGCAACCAATCCTTCGAAGTGGGGCTAGCCTTGATGCAGAGCTCTCCGTCTCTGGTCTTCAGAGCTGGCACCTGATCACCTGAAGCAGTGATTACAGAAGTGCGTCTGCAGCCGGTCTCGTTTATATCTTTGGTCCATGGGCGAATCGTCTCGTTCGCTCCAGAGTCCACCAAAACTGAGGGCTCTGTAGTCTGCGATTCCGCTGCAACATTACTCACAGGACAATCCATACACTCCAGTCTTGATGCAACCACAGACGCCTTTGCGCCAACCAAGCTAGGAATATCATGCTGATCTTCTACCTCCACGCATCGCATAGCTGTAGGAGGACCGTCTGACGAACTTGGATGGGCTTCTGAGCTGTCCTGGTCTGCAGAAGCTTGGCTGAAGTGGTACGATTCCTCATCATCGGACACCAGCAAACCTGATTCAAATGCCTCGGCAGTCGCCTCTGCAAAAACCAAGTTTCTAGCATCCCCTGCCCTGAGATTTTTCGCTGTTGCTTTCGCCAACGGAGTCACTGGATACCCAAGCCTCGGCGGCGGCGTCGCTGGCCGAGGTCTGGCCGATGAGGCGCCAGCAATCCTGGGCGGCGCTGCCTGGCTCCTCTCGGGCTCTTCTTCTGGAATCACAACTGGTCGCTGTCGGTGACGTATTATGGCAACATATCGCTCATTGCCAGTCTCCTCCTCAAGAAGCCAAACAAGAAAGACAGGACGTGCTATCTGGTCATCAAACATAACCAGCGCAATGTCGCATTGAAGGATGTCAACCCCATCCACAACTGGAATGGTTCCCTGCTCATTCTCATCAAGCTCATCATGAAGAATACTCCACCATAACGGCCAGCAAATACTGCGTGGGTTCGTCGTCTCAACAAACTCATGGCTTGCGCGTGAGTGAACAAACCCAGGTCTCCGCCATTGCATGTACTCGGTGACAGAAAGTTCTAAGGTCCAAAGTGGCTCAGGCTGTTGCTGAAAGTTAAGCAAAACATCACTGCCTTCAGACTCCGCCTCCTCACTGGAGAACTCTCCACGTTCCACCTCAGACCATTCCGGAGTGTCACCGTCAGCTCGCATGGGGATTCCCGAGATGCTCGGATTATTGTCGCTGTCGCTGTCGCTGTCTGGCTCATCATTCAAGTTGCTAGCCATCATTGCACAGGGTCTTGAAGAAGATTCCTGCGCTGCACAAGCTGCTCCTGCCAAAGCTGGGACGTCCTCAAACTCCTGCGCTACAGCTGCTGTTGAAGATGCTGCCTTTGCGGCTGCCTTGGCAGCCTTCTTCTCTGCTTTTGTCTTGGCTCTGGCAGAAGGTGTCGGAGTTGCGTCTGCAGCAGCCTTAGCCTCTGCTTTGGCCTTGGCCTTCGGTTCTGCAGACTTCGTTGCGCCCTTATCTCCTTTGCCATTCTTGCCATCCTTGCCCTGTGCGCCCTTTCCTTTCTGGCTTGTCCCCCCTTGTTTCTCATGCCGAAAAGTGCAATCAGATCCTTTGAGGCATCCCCTAGCAGTGTTGTAGTACGCGCAGAGTGGTTTCACACCCTTTCCTCCAGCAGCCTGATTAGCCGCTGGCATATCGTACTCTCCAACATCTCCATGCTTCGGCCCTCCTCGCGACGCCGTTTGCTCCTCTGCAAAAATTCGAGTGCACTCAGCCTCCAAGATCTGCAAGTATGAAGAGACGCCATCATGAGTAGGCACCTGAATGTTGTGCTGAAGTCTCATAAGGCTCAGTCTTGTGCCCAGCAACGTGTGTTTCTTTTCCAGCTGCCGACACAAGCCGTCGAACGCTGCAATGGACTCATGAGGTGCCTGCTCGGGGATCTTCAGGTACTCCGCTCGCTGTTTAGCAAGCCGCCATCGTCGAAGAGTACCCAAGAGTTCCTTGCACGAGTTGGCAACAGGAAGCTGCCTCAGGAACCGCTGCAAGGACACCTGTTCGCTGACTCCTCCAGGCATGAACACTTCACATGCTGCTTCCAACAATGCGATGGTGGAAACCGCTTCATCGGATGATCCCTTTTCAAGCGCCGGCTGCTTCATTGAAGTTGGCAGGGCCTTGAGGAGGGCAAGACTTAAGCGCGTCTCAAGCGTTTCTCGTAGAGCTCCTGGCCCTCACGCAGCCTGCGTCTGAAGAACTCAGCCAACAACGGTGAAATGGCTTCCGCGAGCGCTGAGGCCTCAGTGGCCCATTGGCGGAATGCCATACCCTTTTCCCAGGGATCTCCCTGAGGCATCACTAGCCGAGGGAAGTCTTTGATCAACTTCCATTGGCCAGGTGGAATCCGATTGCCTCCTTGGTCAGGAGAAACTGTGGATAAGCCAGGCGGCAGCTGCTGCACTGCCTCCAGCTCTTCCTCTTCGTCATCATCGTACCAGCCGTTTCCAGCCTCAGGACCTGACTGGCGTCCAGCCTCCGGTGTCATGAGATATCTTTCCGGTTTCCCAGGTCCAGAAGTCCGCGGCGTGGAAGGCTCAACTGGCAGCTGTTCAATCACTCTGTCCGCCATGTTGGACACAGGACGGCGCGACACCTTATCCTGCTCCTGCACCTGATCGTCGCTCAAGTGGGACGACAAAATGACCAACTGCTTGCTGATCTCCTCATAGCGTAGCTGAAGCTTGCTAGTGACCTTCTCGTTGGCCACCACTCGCTCCAGGATACTGCTCAACTCCTTCGTGCTGTCCTTATGAGATGCAACAGATGTTTCAAGCTGTTTCTTAAGCTTCTCAATCTCCCCCTGCTCATCCAGAAGGCGTTGTGTCCATATAGCCCCATCACCTTTGGTCATAAACTCCTCCTTTGCAAGTTTCACCAAACGTTCAAGGGTTCTTTCTTCGTGTCCAGATCCAGACTCATCTTCGGACCCATCGTGTCCAATGCTGAGTTCCAGAAACTTTTTGTCGTGCGCGCGCAATTTGTCACCATACTCAGCCATGACATCACTGACCTGAGAAGCTGCGTCCTTCATCGAGTCTACAGTTCCACCAAGTGCGTCCACTTGGCACAGTGATGCTTGTAGGCCTTGCACCATTTGATTAAGAATGTCCAACTTCGTGTTAACATCTGCCTCAAATGATGTGTTCGCCCTTGACTGCATAGCCAACGCCTCCTCAAGCTGACCAATACGCTTAGACATCTCAGAAAACTTGCTATCAGCCTGTTTCCAAAGCATATCCGACTGTTGTAGCGAAAGGCCAACATTTCCCAGATCAGCTTTCACTGCCTCTGCCTCACCAGCGATAGATGAGACACAAGTTGCCAGACGCTCTGTCCGATACTGCACGTCAGACCCCAACTCCTCAAGCCTCCTCTGCACATCCTCTAGTGACGACAAAGTGGTCTGAGTAGCTTGGTGCTCTGAGTGCAACATATTCAAGAATTCTGCCGGCGCCTGCACTTGCAACAGCTGCTGTAATCTGAAACCTGAGGGGTGCTGAGCAGACGTAGCATACCTCCAGTTCAGAAGTGGATCCGGTCCACTGCCAAACGCCTGGTCTGCTTGGGCTTCTGCTGGAGCTCTGCTCGGGTTCGTAGTTGGGCTAGTCATAACCTGTGATTGTGTGCTTGGTTGTTCTGGGCTCAAGCGGTCCGTGACTATGCTATAGGCAGGACTCATCTGCAGCTGCTGTTGTTGTTGTTGTTGTTGTTGTTGTTGTTGTTGTTGTTGTTGTTGTTGCTGCTGCTGCTGTTTGAACTGGTGCGGAACATCATCAAGAGGGGAGTACGGAAGCATCACTTATCCCCATACATCCGACTTAAGCCCCCGAAACGACCTGGGTTAGGGCCTAGGGAGTAACAGCGGGCTCCAGGACAGGGTTCGGGTCTAGGGTACCGGGCAACCGGGGTCCTAGACTCAACACCCTCACCAAAACCAGACAACCTCGTCACTCGAGTCACTTCTCGATTTTGCTGTGTCATCTTGAGCCACATGTAGTGGCGATGCTAATCTTCTCAAGTATCGTTCCTGCAAAAGCAAAGAGCTGTAATGAGCTAGCAAGAGTGTACGCTATGCTCCCTTGACCAGAACATGTGCATAGCCAATCAATGAAGCTGCCACGCTACCCGTGGCTCAAGGGCATCAAGCATGCAGGTGAAAATGACCGCTTAGCGTGGAGCGCTGCTAGCATTTGGCCGCTACAGTTGGTAGCGGAGCTCCTGGCTCCATATGGAATCAGGGCTCCAATATTTCAACCCTGCGCACTCATGGCCAGGCGCTCCCGTGGAGTATGAGAGTCAGAATCACCCTTGGATGTCAGGTGGCCACGCTCCGTGGGTCAACGACTGGGGCAATCGACCGGGCAGAGAGAATGGTGATTGGAGAGCCAGTCACTGGGGTGCTAGCTACATGACGACGAGCGGCCCGGAGCCGGACCAGTCACAAGGGGCAGGTCGACTGCTTGGGGAAGAGGACAGTCGACGGACGACCGCTGAGGCGGTCGCTGGAGCGGATCACTCGACATCGGTGCCTACTACAAGATTGGCGACGGCGGGCGGCGGACCTGGTGAGGCTGAGGCTTCGGATCCTTGGCTGGCGGCGGCCAGGCAGCTGGTCTCAACCGCCACACATCGTGTGCCGGAAGGCCCGGCAAGTGTGGCAGCAACTTGGGGCTCAGGTGGAGCAAGCTCGTCAGCGCAAGGCCCCGCAGTGGGACAGGTGATGCTCGCGCCTGGACTGTCTTCACAAGGACGCGTCGGCGCTGATGGACCTCGACTACAGGCCATGCCTCCTCCAGGACTGGGCGGAGGACCAGACCTTCTTCGGGCTCCTGGCTGGCTTCTACCACCAGGACCAGATTCCCTTCCTCATCGATTACCAGATTATGCGCGACCACCTCATGGATGCGGCGTGCCTCCTGGACCAGGTGCCTCCGGAGGGGGGGCCCCAGTCCTGGGAGGACCTGGAAGCGGTGAACCTCCATGGATGGATCTCAGAGCGCCGTCGGCTTGGAATCCTCACGTCGGCGGCAACAACGATGGCCAGGGCGCTGGAGGTCGGCCTTGGTGGAACGGATGGGATTGGAACCGTGGACAGAGCAACGGTGGATACAAGGGAGACTTCAGCGATCCTCCCAGCTGGCCAGGCTGGACCTACCGAAGACAGTGGGTCACCGCCGTCCGAAGGTGGAACAAGCAGACCGACGTCCCAGTGTTCAGGAGAGCCGAGAAGGTGTTGCGGACACTGGGGTGGGAGCAGCAGGTGGACTTTGAGCACCTGACCGAGCAGCAGCTGGGCTCTGACCTCTACTTGGAGTACATCTTGCAAGTCATCGAGTTGAAGGCCGGTGTCAGGGAGGACGATGAACGTCGACAAGCCTACCGGGCGGTGATGCACGAGTGCAGTCGAAAACGAGATGAGACGCTGGCGCAGTACTCTATGCGGCGGCTGCGGGACTTCACGAAGGCGGCGGCCGTCGGGATCCAGTTGCCGGACGAGTTCAAGGCAACGATGCTTCGCGAAGGAGCAGGGCTTTCGGACCAGGGGCTGCAGAACTTGACGGCTCTGATGCAAGGCCGAGATCACGATCTGGACCGCTTGGCTACCACCTTGGCCAGGATGGACGCCCGAGCAGACAGGCTGGTTGGTTTCGTGGAACAAGAAGAACGGCTCGGGGGCGTTCGCGGCGAGGACGAATCCTTCCTCGAGGGCCACTCGGAGGAAGAGGAGGCAGAGGGCGACCTGGAAGAGTTCACCGAGGATGAGCACGTGCTGAGCGAGCTGATGGACATGAGTTTCTCGGAGGAGCAGGCCGCCCTGGTGTTCGCGATCGTGGAGAACAGGCCTCCCCATCGACGAAGGACGTGGAAGGAGAACAAGAAGTTCAAAGCGGAACTGCGAAAGGACCGGAACAGCTTTGTGAAGGGAGCTGAGGGCCCTCCCCGGAGCAACGGCCAAAAGCCCCGCTACAGCAAGGAACAGCTCAAGAAGATCTCCAAGTGCAGGAACTGCGGCCGCCGGGGACACTGGGCGGAGGATTGTCGTCAACCGAAGGGCTCCACCCCCTCTGAGAATGGCAAGGTCACGGGGTTCTGCTACCTAGGGGACTCTCGAGACCGTCATGTGTCCTTCACCTTCGCGGCAACGGAGTCCGTGAGCATGGCTGGATCGCTTGAGAGTTGGTGTCTGCTAACGATCCCTTCCGGTTTGGCGATCTTGGACATTGGCGCTACGCAGGACATCATCGGCAAGGACGCTTTGGTCGAGCTGGAGAACGAGCTCGAGAAGTGCGGGCTGCGGGCCATCGAGATCCCCGACAACGTGGCTATCCCAACGGGAATCGGAGGCCAGGCAAAGGTGGACAAAGTGGTCCTCGTACCGATCGCCCCGGGAGGGATCCCGGGGGTGGTCAAGTTCGTGGTCTTGGAGAATAACGTGCCGCCCCTCCTTTCAGTCGGTCTACTTACTCACCTCGGCGCAAGTCTCGACCTCCAGACCGACGTCATCAGCTTCAAGAAGATCGGAGTGAGCATGAAGATGCAGCAGCTTCCCTCCGGCCACAGAGCCATTCCCCTTGTGCAGTGGAGCGGTGAACATTTTCCGGTTCCAGCGGCTGCCAAGCGGCAGTACCAGTTGTCCGACGACGCCTTTATGAAGGAGCATGTCCCCGTGGCGTACACAAAGAGAAAGGCGTCAGGGTCACAAGCATCTAGTGGGGAAGGTCTTCATGTTGGGAAACGTGATCTAGTGTCTAGGAGCAGATTGTCGTCTGGGACAGAAGAGTGCTTGTGCCTACATAGCGAGGGAGAGCTGGACGCGGTTGCTGATGCCAGATCAAGCGAGACAAGTACAGGTTCATGTCAGGGACAACACGCATGTCATCCCCCGGCTGGTTTCGGCTCAGGTGAATCGATGGGCAATTCCATTGCCCCCGTGACTTTCAAATTCGATAGCTCCAGCCGCCGTGATCATGGAGGCCCCGTCTCGCTCGACGGAAGGCGCGCGGAGTTCAGTGAACCAGAGCCGATGGCGCGGAATTCTTCTGCGCATGTTCCAAATGTTGGAGACCGTGAGAGTGGGCTACATGCGACTCGCAGAGGCGGAGACCCAGCAGAAGAGCATCGTGTCCAAGCGCAAGAAGTACTTGACAGCGGACTCCCAGGAACCCGACACGTGCCTTCATCCCGGACAGCACATCAGGAGGTCGAACCAGTACGCCGTGTGGACAGTGTGCCCGAAGTGCTCGGCAAGGACCAGCTACGTCTCCAAGTACGTGCCGCGATCCAAGGCGAAGGCTCGGGCCCGGGCTCGGGATCCCAACGGCACCGCTGGCTATCCCGTGGTGAGCACGACAACCACGACCTCTTCGGGAACCCAGGAGAGAGCCGCCAGGAACGGGCCCCCAACGGAGTCAGTTCCCATCGAGTTGAACCACACCCTGCAGACGATGATGGCGGGCTTCCAGGACATCGGCGCCTCTTTGCGGGCTCTGGCACAGGGTCAGGGACAGATGCTGATCATGCTCCAGAAAGGACAACAGTTGGACTTGTCGAACATGACGCCCACGCAGGTTGCCGAAGCTGTCAATCGCACCGTGAACCAGGAGATGCAGGAGATGTTGGTGGACGAGACGGGCAGCAGCCCAGGGACCTGGTCACCGGTATCTCCCATGAGCAATCCCAACGAGCGAGACCTGCCGGCGTCAACTGGCGTCCGGGAAGCTTGACCTTCTACGCCATCACCTCGCAGTTGGTGTCGTGGGCACAGCTGGATCTCAACATGCAGAGTGTCCTGGCAGGTCATGGTGGAAACCCCTCTTGCTGGTTCGTTAAGAGGGATTGGAGCATGAAAGAGCCAGAGGAGAGACCTGCCTGGCTGCGAGTGCCATGGGTCCAAGCCATGACCTTTGATGAAGCCGTGGACAAAGATCTGCAATGTCTGTGGCATGTGACAAGGGAAGACGGCGATGTCTACAGCAAGGGCCCTGGTCCCCCCGAGCCCGGTGGTTCCTCGTCCTGGACATGGGCATGTTCCCGAGGCGAGCGTGTCTTACAAGATGCCTGGGATAGAATCACGGCACCCCTTGGACTCGGAGTCGACGGCCAGCGATCTCATGTGGGACCCTATTGGATGGTGCACGCCCCGGGTCTGGACGAAGAAGGCAATCTGCTGTCGTCGTGGGAGAAGAGCGAAGCCGAGGCGGCCGCGTTGCGCCTCGCCAGGACCAAGTGCCTCGAGACGAACCCGGACAAGATCGACTACGTCAACCTCTTTCACCAGGCTGCCTCCACGGAACGTGTTCGAGATTGCGGAGGACTTGTGGCATCCTCACATGAGAGGTTCACTCGGGAAGACGGGTGGAAGATTGAGAACAAGGAGCATCGGGCTCGGCTCAGAAAGTTTTTAGACCGCCGACAGCCGGAGATGGTCTTCGTTGCCATGCCCAAGGTTCATCACCTGTCCTACGGAAGCAACGTGAAGCAGTCGTTGTATGAAGACATGGCATGGGAGGTGGCGGCTCAACAAGATCGAGAAGGGCGCAGCTACCTCGTGCAAGGAAAGCGTTCCTCACCCATGTGGCAGAGATCCTCGTGGAGAGCACTGCTGGAAGATCCCAAGACGATGGTGGTGTCCGGCAAGGAGCTGAAGTGGGTCACCAACGATCCAGCGAGGGCCGACCGTATCCTGAAGGAGAAGGACGACCTAGAAAGCGAACCCGACAAGGCTCCCCAGGTCAGTTACCACCAAGCGCCCAGCGAGCGGAAATCGTCAATCGGAGAGAACATTGCGAAGCAGCTACTGGAACAGCAGGATTTTTCACTGCCGGCGTGCCTGAAGTTGCTGAAGGCTGTGGAATGGCCGGGGAAGTCGAGAAGGAGATCTTCATCCGGAAACAATGAGGCGGTGCTCCTCGGGCAGTTCTCCCACGGCAAGTTCTCCGGAATCACGCGCGCCACAAGAGAGTTTCCCTCGGTGACGCAGTACGTCAACGAGTTCATGCGCCGACGAGGAGCCCTTCTTCCGAGATCGTCCATCATGATCACGAGGAACAACGCCTATGGGTACCATCGGGACAGTCACAACATCGGGGAGAACCAGACCATGGGCCTAGGGGAATACTCCGGGGGTGAGGTCTGGATTGAGGACGAGAAGGGCAAGCAGAGACGCCGAATGCCCCACGGGACCTTCGTCAACGGAAGAGTGGTCAAGACAAAGAACCGAATCGTCACCTTCAACGCGAAGAACTGGCATGGAGTCGAACCCTGGCGAGGAGATCGGTGGTCCATCAACGTATTCAAGACCCGATCAGCGGCCAATCTATCACAAGGCTACTCCGAACCGAGCGCTCCCAAGAAGATGGCTGACGTGCTGGTCCCCAGCTGGTGGTTCTCTCCTGAGAACTCCGGAGGCAAGTCCTTCCCCACTCTGTCGCTCGACGAAGAGGAAGACGACACCACGCCGGCTGCGATCGAGACGACAGGCCACGAGAAGAAGATCACCGAGGAGCAGAAGGCGCTGGTGAAAAAGGTGCACGTCAACACGGGACACCCGCCTCGGGACCGTATGTTGCGGACATTTAGAGCGGCGGGAGCCAAGGCCGAGGTTCTCAAGTACATCCGGGACGAGTTCGCCTGCGACCACTGCATCATCAAGCGTGGCCCAGACCATCGCAGGAAGGCGCAGTGTCCTCGAATCTTCACGTTCAATCGTGTGGTCTCCGTTGACGTGTTCTACATCCACTTCCAGGACCGATCCATCCCCGTGCTCAACATGGTTTGTCATGGAACTGGGTATCAGATTGCCCAAAGGATCACTGGATCTGGTGATGGGGCACCCACGGCAGCAGCCACTTGGAGTGCTCTGCTGACTACATGGGCCAGGTTTCTCGGACCGCCGGCTCTGCTCATCACCGACGGCGGCAAGGAGTTTCAGGGAGTATTTGAACGTGGCCTGGAACAGCTGGGAACACTTCAGCACGTTACGGCTCCTGAATCCCCGTGGCAAAACTCGCGGGCCGAAAGGCATGGGGGGTGGCTGAAGCACAAGCTGCAGCAGGAGATCGAGTCCGGACAATGCACTCTTAGCTCGGAGAGTGAATTCGACGACTTCATGGCCTCGCTGGTGGCGGCGAAGAACCGATGGCACAACGCTGGCGGCTACACCCCCACGCAGCTAGTCTTTGGTGAGCTGCCCAGGATCCCTGGGGAGCTTCTGGCGGAGGATTCCGGCGGAATGGTTCCTCTGTCCGACGCCTACCACGATGCAGCAGGTCTGGACGCAGTCGGGGTCGAGTTTCGGAAGAGACAAGAGATTCGAGAGAGAGCCAAGCAGCTTGCAATGCAGGCCACCAGCAAAGAAGCGATCGTCCGAGCCACCAAGACGTCCAGCACTCCACTCCGACAGTGGAATGCGGGACAGTGGGTGTACTGCTTCAGGCGTGGGAAGGCGGGAGACACGCTACATCCGGTGCCGAGATGGGTGGGTCCCGGAATGGTCGTCCTGTCGTCCAGGTCCATCGTCTGGGTGGCAATGAGATCGCGACTGTGGAGATGCACCCCTGAACAACTGAGGCCGGCCTTTCCCTCGGAGGTTCTAGGCAGAGAGCTTGCCTCGGACCCGGAGCTGGCGGATCTTCTGAGACGTGTTGTCTCCGGAGGACAAACTGAGGCGGTGGATGTGACCAGGGAACGGCCCCCAGCACAAACAGACCAACTGATGCCGGTGCAGGAAGAGTGCGAGGGCATCCCAGTATCCGCCGAGAGACCGACCGAAGCAGAACTTCATCGGCAAACTTTGCGAGGGGAAGAAGCCATTCCGGTTCCCCCCGGCATCATACCTGAAGTGCATGGACAGAGTGATCGGCACGAAGACGAGCCCGCCGGCCACGAGGGTCGCATGAGACGCCAGGTGTCGACTTCTACCGGATCTCGAAGGTCATCCGTGCAAGAGCCAGCACAGGAGCCGGAAGCCACGGGGGGCTTGCAACCCGTACCTGAGCATGAAGAGCTTCATCCACCCTACGATCATGAAGATCACGGTGCAGGAGTGAACGTCAGGGAAAGGTCTCCTCCGGCTGAGGAAAGGGCATTCAAGGCACTTCGTGTTGGAGAGCCTCGGGAAGAGAGCGGAAGTCGTGCCGCTAGTCCTACAGAGCAACCTTCGTCCAGCAACAGAGCTCCAGGAACGCCCATCTCCAGACTCCTAGACGCTGTTCGTCGAGGAAGAGACCAAGCAGATCCTGGTTCGGCCACGGTCGAGGAAGACAGCGACGCAGAGGGAATGGTGAGCTGGTATTCCTTCAACGAGGATGGCGGCTTGACGCTGGTGGCAAGCAGGTCAGATGAGATCGACGTCAAGAAGCTTTCCGAAGACGAGCAGAAGATGTTCGAGCAGAGCGACGAGATGGAGTGGTCGGCGATATTGAAGACGAAAGCCGTGAGGGTCATCGTCGGACAAGAAGCTGCCACGATGCGGAAAAGATATCCCGAGAGAGTGCTCAACTCTAGGATGGTGCGTCGGCGAAAACCACAGCCTGGAGAAGGGAGTTGGAAAGCCAAATCCAGGTGGTGTCTGGCTGGACATGGAGATCCAGATACGGCAGAACTCACAACGTTCGCTCCTACTCCGTCGACGGAGGGCATGATGGCCTTCATGCAAGCAGGAATCAACATGGGCCACCACTTCATCTTCTCGGACGTCAAGAACGCCTTCTGCCAATCAGACAAGCTGCACAGGCCTCGAGGGCCCATATTCGCAGAACCCTGCGAAGGGCTCAAGCTTCCGGCGGGGTCGCTCATAGTCATCGAAGTTCCGGTTTACGGACTGGATGATGCGCCAGCTGCCTGGAGGAACACCGTCACCAAGTACTTGGCGGACAATGGATTCGTCAGAAACCTGGTGGAGCCATGCTGGTGGATGAGGTTCAACGAACAGGGCACGAACGAGGCTCAGATACTGATCGAGGTAGACGACTTCATCATTAGCGCGCTCCCCGAGATGAAAAAGCAGATTAAGGAGCTCCTACACGCCCGGTTCAAGTTCGGCAAGTGGGAAGAGGACGAGGCTGAGTACGCTGGGAGGAGGATTCGGACCAGCTCCGATCGCATCCTGGTGGACCAAGAGAAGTACATCAAGGAGCAGATTTTCCCCGTCCCGATTTCAAAGAGCCGCAAAGGAGACAAAAGCGTCCCCCTCACAATGGAAGAGTTCAAGAACTTTCGCAGTGCCATCTACAAAATCAACTGGGTGGCGAAGGAGACGCGGCCTGAGGTCAGTGGTACGGCGTCGCTCATGGCGAGCAAGTTGACCAACGCTACCATCGACGATGTGATGGTCGTCAACAAGACCATCAATTACTTGAGAAACACGGCGTCGAGGCCCCTCGTGATATGGAAGTTCCACCCCTCCAACATGGCCTTCATCGCCGTGTCCGACGCTGGTGGAGTGGGTCAGAAGTACGACTCCCTGGATGAGGAGGGACTCCCAACGGATGGCACTCAAGGAGCATGGATGGTGATGGCGGCGGAATGTCTTCCGATCGGAAACCAGAGGGTCAAGGCCACTCCTCTGGCATGGAGATCGAGTCGGCTCAAGCGGAAGGTGTTCAGTACCTTCGGGGGCGAGACCCAGGCGATGCTGCAGGCGATCAACGAGGTCGACTGGCTCCAGATCATGATGAGGGACGCCGTCCAGCACGACATCGAGCTCAACAAGTGGAGGAATTCCCTTTCGCCTCACTTGCTGATCATGAAGGGCGACATGCGTGCGACGAAGCAACCGCAATGCTCCGTCACCGATGCCAAGAGTCTTTATGATTGCATCATGAAAGAGCATCCTCAAGGACGACAAGACAGGAAGTCCGCCCTAGAACTGGCAATCATAGTGAAGGACCTCCAGAGCTCACAGTCCATGGTTCGGTGGATTCCCCACCAGAAAATGATCGTCGACGCACTCACCAAGGCGGACCCGGCCAAGAGCAATGGGGCGATGGACATGTACCTCCGATCCGGTACTTTGAGCCTCGTGGACGTTGCGGCCGAGCTGTCATGTCGAGCTGCGGACGCGAAGTACAAGAACCGAAGCCATGCGGCCTCCGTAGCACGTTTAGTCAAGGAATACCAGCAAGACGCTGAGCAGTTCTGGTCAACCCTAATTTGGGGGGACTGTAATGAGCTAGCAAGAGTGTACGCTATGCTCCCTTGACCAGAACATGTGCATAGCCAATCAATGAAGCTGCCACGCTACCCGTGGCTCAAGGGCATCAAGCATGCAGGTGAAAATGACCGCTTAGCGTGGAGCGCTGCTAGCATTTGGCCGCTACAGAGTCATCCTTGCGCAGGGGTCATGCAGCAATCAGTCTGCCACATTCTTCAACTGATCTTGCACAGCTGCTGTCAATGCTCTCTGCAAACACAACCCTAAACCCCAAACCCCAAACCCTAAACCCTAAACCCTACTGACGGCCGCAGTTCCAGACACCCAGAGCCTTTTCCAACCAAAAAGGCTCTGAAAGGGTCTATGGGGATTCAGTTGAACAAAACAGTATCCCGTCAAGTTTGTTACGACCTTGTCATTGCCAACGATCCTCTCACTGATTCTGTGCGCAGGCTGCTATGATGAGCATCGCCGCGGAGAGTGGTCAGATGAGCGAGGTTCCCCAAATCAGACCCCGAATCTACTGCGCCCCCTAAACCCTAAACCCTAACCCTAAATCCTAAATCCTAAATCCTAAACCCTAAACCCTAAACCCTAAACCCTAAGCCCTAAGCCCTAAACCCTAAACCCTAAACCCTGAGTCTTGTCCCTTCTCTTTCGCAATCATGCATGGGCTGCTACATCCCGCCACCCTAACCCCTAACCCCTAAACCCTAAACCCTAAACCCTAAACCCTAAACCCTAAACCCTAAACCCTAAACCCTAAACCCTAAACCCTAAACCCTAAACCTCAAACCCTAACAAGGACCCCAATAAGGTACCCTTAATATCGTAAAGCCCCATATTGCTTGCAGGAGGAGATCACAGCCTGCACAAAGGTGGCCGAGCCGGCGCAGACAGCAGTGGTGGTCAAGCCCCCAGTTTTGGGTTTAGGGTTTAGGGTGTAGGGTTTAGGGTGTAGGGTTTAGGGTTTAGGGTTTAGGGTTTAGGGCTGGGGGGGCAGATTGGGAATGTAGGCACACGCCGAGGCCTGCTAACTGCTCATCTGAGCCCACCTTGATACGACGTTCCTGTCTTTCCGGAGATCCAGTCGACCATGAGAGCACGGGTTTTCGGTTTTTTCCTTTAGCAGCGTGCCACACACACGACGAAGGTCAGATGCCCACAAACGCCCTGATCCCGAAGCCTTCGGAGCCTTTCTCACCCTAAACCCCAAACCCGCCTAAACCCTAAACCCCAAACCCCAAACCCTAAACCCTAAACCCTAAGCCCTAAACCCTAAACCCCAAACCCTCAACCCCAGAAAGTCTCCAGCTCAGCCTTTGCTGCATCGCTCAGGCCGCCCTGCGCGAAGTGGAGGCCTGGAGGGGATGAGGTATGGAGCCCATGAAAAGTCTAGTTTGGGATAGTTGAAATTTCCGTTAAACCCTAAACCCTAAACCCCAAACCCTAAACCTTATTGGGTTTAAGAGGATCATATTCAGGAGTATGTCTAGGAGGGTTTTAGGGGTCATCCTTCCGACCCCCAGGCCTTTAATTTCCATGCAGAGGCCACGAGGCCCGGCACCCTCCGGCCTTTCACTGCAGGTTCGGCTGAAGTCAGCAACGCTCTCCATGAAGGAGGAGCTCGTGGCGCTGAAGGACAGCGGTGGTAGGGTCTGTGCAAAGGCCGTGAATCTTGCCAATCGGGCTTGTGGTTTAGGGTGCAAGGGCTCATCTAGACCTTGCCGTTCTTGACACATCCTCAACACAACAACGTTTCAGGTATCAATGGCTTAAACCCCCAATCCTTGAAGAAGAAGACCAACGATCTTCATTGAATGCTGAGAGAACGGTCTCTGCTCATTGTAGTACTGAGTCAGAACCATGGAGTGAGGGTACTCCCTTCTTCACGCTGTGGGAAAGTGGAGACTCCTACCGCCTAGCCCAGCCAAGGCTCTGAACCGCGCTTGGGGGCTGGGAATTGGCACCCGGTGGTTGCACCTTGTACACTTAGCGAGGGAGGCCTGTTGCAGGCAAGGCTCATGAACACCAACTGCCTTCCACTAGCTGCGGTAGTGAGAACAACGATGACAACAACGACAACGACCGCAACGAGGACAACGACGAGGACCAACGACGAGGACAACGAAGACAACGGTGGCAACACCAACAACAAGAATAGCACCAACAGCTGCAGCAACAGCCGCAACAGCAACGGCAACGACATCGGGACAGGCAGCGGCACCTGCAGCGGCAGCGGCATCCGCAGCGGCAGCGGCAGCGGCATCGGCAGCAGCAGCGACAGCGGCATCGGCAACGGCAGCGACAACGACAACATCCACAACGCAATTTCTACCTCCCCCCTCTCAACAGTTGAGAAGACATGCCCCAAAATACTCAAGCCCCCAAAGACCCCAAAGCACAACGAAGCACACTCAACCCTCCTAAACCCTAAACCCTAAACCCTAAACCCTAAACCCTAAACCCTAAACCCTAAACCCTAAACCCTCAACCCTAAACCCTAAACCCTGAACCCTGAACCCTGAACCCTGAACCCTAAACCCTAAACTCAAACCCTGAACCCTGAACCCCAAACCCTAAACCCTAAACCCTAACCGTAAACCCTAAACCCGAAACACAACCGAGGTTTCATTTGCCAAAGCAAATCCTCCAGGACCGAGGCATGGAGATGAAGAAGAAATGCGAGGCTGCCATTTCCCCCCCCCCCCCTGGGATCAGAATAGGGTTTAGGGTTTAGGGTTTAGGGTTGAGGGTTGAGGGTTGAGGGTTTAGGGTTTAGGGTTGAGGGTTCAGGGTTTAGGGTTTTGGGCGGTTTTGGGTTTCGTAGCTGAATCAGTGCATGTTGCACTTTTTGGGATTCTGCAATCCCCTATAGAACTGAAGTACAGTTTTTTGGGGGCTTATGAACTCGGCAACTAAGAGCAGTTTTTTTTTTTTTTTTTGGGGGGGGGGGGGGGTTGGTGTTTTGGGTGATTTGGGGCAAAGAGGGGCCAAGGTGTGGTCTGCATTTGACGTGTGAGGCTTGAAATTGAAAGCATGTGAGAATGGTTTGAAGCTTCGAGAGCTGCGGATCTTTTGGTTTGGGCTGTTCAGTTCGGGCTTTCGAGGGTTTAGGGTTTAGGGGTTGGGGATGCGTACTGCGGATGCGTACTGCGGATGCGGGACATAGCTCTCCAAGCCGCCAGACCGTCGCCGCCACCATGAGAAATCAACGGCAAGGCGGGGGGCGATGTTGCTTCCTTCTTCCGTTTAACAGTGATGCTTTTGGGCCAGGAGGCCACCATCTTCACAGCCTCAATGCTTGTAGTCACTGAAAGGCTACGGTTGCTGTTGATCATGAAAACTGGAGATGGGCCAAGGGTCCTTTTCTTGAGCTCTGAGCCCTTGCTGCATGATACTACCGAAACCTAAACCTTCAAGCCCTATACGCACCCTAAACCCTAAACCCTAAACCCTAAACCACAAACCGCCTACACCCGAAGCCACCTAAACACCCCAAAAGTCTTCAGGCATCTCGGCGGCACAGATGGCTGCGACGATCTCGGAGAAGGCCGCGTGGGGTCACGGGTTTCGGGATGATTCGTTTCGGGATGATTCGGGATGGGCGCTTTCCTACCAATTGCTTAAGAACCCCCGCAAGAATGTAAAAGACTCTTCCTTGTAAGGGTAATATTGGGACGAATATTGTTTTATTTTTTTGGAGGTTCTTAAGCAAGTAGTAGTTTCGAGGTCGGGGAACGGGGCTTGGTAATCAGACTAGTAAGAAAACAGGAACACTAATCGCAAGCATTGTCGATTGCAGCGTTTATTGTATTACTACGCTCCAGAAAAAGTCTGGAAGAGGCCGGGGGAACACTTAAGATCTTGGCAGGAGATGCTCTGATTGTTCTTGTCACAGTGCCACGCACCCATGGTCCTTCGCATGAGCACAGCGGCATCAGCCCCCGTACGGCGGCACAGAAGATCCAGCATCGCTCATCCCAGGGGGAGTTGGGTGCCCGTCCACACATCATGTCACTCGAGTGAATCAATCAAGTTTCAGTTGCTGCATGACCCTTCTTGGTACGCGACCAAAATGCTGCTGTTTACCAACTCACGTTGGAGGATTCAGGTGGAGAGGTTCGGGGGGGGGCCCCAGAATTTTTAGGCCGTTGCAGGAGTGTCCTTGACAGCATGCAGGCCCTCCTCCCTCCTCCCCGCCTAAACCCTAAACCCTAAACCCTAAACCCTAAACCCTAAACCCTAAACCCTAAACCCTAAACCCTAAACCCTAAACCCTAAACCCTAAACCCTAAACCCTAAACCCTAAACCCTAAACCCTAACACTAAACCCTAAACCCTAAACCCTAAACCCTAAACCCTAAACCCTAAACCCTAAACCCTAAACCCTAAACCCTAAACCCTAAACCCTAAACCCTAAACCCTAAACCCTAAACCCTAAACCCTAAACCCTCCCTCCTCCCCGCCACGAGTCCCGCAGAGCCAGGTGGCTTTGGCCGAGGAGGGCCTCGCAGCGTGCCAGGATGCAGAAATGCCTTTCCTGAAAGGGATCGAGGCTGGGGGTGGATATTTAAGAGTTCGGCTTTGGGTGATTTGGGTTTGGGGGCTTGGGGATTCAAAGGATTTCGGGCCAGTTTAGCCTAAACCCTAAACCCTCAAATGCTGCAGGTACTGCCTGCGGAGGAGTCGACCAAGGCCATCAGCGACTGTGAAAGCGCATCGGCCAGTGCCTCGAAAAGAGGGTCCTGAGGTCACTCCCTTAGGGTTTAGGGTTTAGGGTTTAGGGTTTGGGGTTTAGGGTTTAGGGTTTCGGGTTTAGGTGGGGTCCATGTTACATTTTTAAGAGTACCTAAACCCTATAAGGAATAGACATTTAAAGTTTTAATCTTATCCCAACCATGAACTAGACTCTTACCCAGGGCCACAGTCTCATCAGCCCTATAGCCCCCCACGCACAAGACTTAACCCTGTCTTGGGGTGTCGGGCGTTGGATGGTTCACGCTTTAGGGTTTGGGGCAGTTTTGTGGTTCAGAAGGGCCTCTGGATTTTTAGGTTCCTAGGTTTTGGGCCATTTTGGGCACCCTGTGCCCTAGACCCCAAACCTTGGCTCGGCCCAGACCAAAGCAGAGTTGGCGTTGAACCAGGCGGGTCCCGCTGGGAGGGTTTGAAGATTCAAGGGCATCTTGTGTACATGCAGTGCCAGCGTGTAGGGCTAGTGTAGGCGTGGGTGGGTGGTTTCAGTTGCCCTAAGCCCTAAGCCCTAAGCCCTAAACCCTAAACCCCAAACCCCAAACCCTAAACCGACAGTACCTCAGTCAAAAACCCCTCAAGGCGCTGCTGCAGATCCAGCTTGAAGGTTCATGAGCACAACAGCTACAAGCAAGGTCATGGGTTAGCCCAGCATCATAGTAGATACCCTAAACCCTAAACCCTAAACCCTAAACCCTAAACCCTAAACCCTAAACCCTAAACCCTAAACCCTAAACCCTAAACCCTAAATACAGTAAACCCTAAACCCCAAACCCTAAACCCTGAACCCTAAACCCTAAACCCTAAACCCTTAACCCTAAACCCTAAATCCGTCAGATCTGGCGGGGTCTGGGGTGCCCTGACAGGCGCGCGGCCTCATCCGCCAGAAGCAGACCGATGCAAAGAAGTTCCCCAAGGACCTGCTTGGAGGTTCATGGTACTTAATAACCAGTTATAACTGTACTTATGACCTACTTATGAGCCCCTTTAAGTGCCCTAATTAGGTTATAATTGGGTTATACGTACAGTTTGTGTTAAGAAGTACAATGAACCTCCAAGTGCGCCACGCAGCGAAACCCTGCACCCTCCTGCGTTTTTGGGCGCCTAGGGCCTTGCGCCTTGCGTTTTGCTTTCTGAGGGGACAGGCGAAGATGCTCGGTTTAGACAAGGGCCGTATGTAGTGTTCGTCTTTGTGTTCTTTGAATGAAATATACTTCTGTTGGGCTCACGAGCCTCGAGTCCCTTCAAAAAGAGAGGCAGCGAAGGGCTCCCCGGAGCACCTTGCAGGGGCTGGAGGTGTAAAGCCAGAGCCCACAACTGGCAAAAAATATTGGCCCATGAGAATTGAACGATGTAATGTGCCCCTTTAATATTGTTTATAAGCGGCGTACGAAAGAAGATCAACTTAGGGAAGGAAAAGGGGGAGAAGCATTAATAATATTCTTTCCTTTCGCCCATGATAAACCCTGAACCCTGAACCCTGAACCCTAAACCCTAAACCCTTAAAACCCTCGAATGCCGGGCCAGGAGCTGCAAGAGAAGGCTTTGGCAGAGCTGAGCCAGCTCAGCCAGCGTGCAGAGGCGCGGCCTTGAGGGTTTAGGGTTTGGGGTTTGGGGTTTGGGGTTTAGGGTTTAGGGGGTTTTGGGGGTTTAGGGGGTTTAGGGTTTACAGTAGGGGTTTAGGGTTTCGTGCAGATTCTGCGAAGGTGCGGGGTGGAGATTTCTGGCAGTTTTGGTTTTTAGGGGTTTCGATTGGGATGTTCCCGACTCTTAGTAGAAGGGGGAACATGCCAAGGTTTCGAGGTTTGGGGACAGGAGGCTCAGAGTTTCGGGATGAGGGCTTCGAGTCCAGGGTAGAAGGGGTATTGATGTTGAGCTTTGGCTTGAAGAGTTTCGTGTTCCGCGTCTCCTAAATATGTTTGGGGCTTAGTCGGATGTCTGGCTCTGCTTTCGCCTTTTTTTCTGGTTCTCTGCATCTCTCTCTCTCTCTCTCTCTTCCCGTCTTTCTTTCTGTCTCTCTTTCGTTCTTTCTTTCTTTCTTTCTTTCTCTTTATCTGTCTTTGCTGTGGATGTGGTGGATAGACGGATAGAGGGGTGTGCCCGAAGCCAGTCTCTCGTCGTGTCCCAAGTTTGCAGAAGGGCTTAGCCTTTAAGAGGAGGCAGAACTATGAAAGACCCCTCACAGCAGGGCCTCAACAGTCGGGACCCAAAGCGCCCCCGAGGCTTGCGGCAAGAAAGTCGCTGACTTCAAGAAGGCCGTGTGATGGTTTACGCCGCACATGTCCCAGAAGAGCTTCTGACTGAGACATCTAGGCCTTGTGACCCGAATCGAGCTTAGGGTTTAGGGCTTAGGGGACTCTAGGACCCTTCACTCGGTGTTTCTGGGTAGCTGGCGACGTCAAGAGTTCCAATCTCAAGTCCGAACGCGCAAGTCGGTGGAGCTTCTAGGAGACAGCGGAACGAAAGCTGAACGCCCTGATGGCCGAGGCCGGGCGCCCGGAGTGCAGGTTGAGAAGCTTAGGGCTTTAGGTTTAGGGTAGGGTCTAGGTATGTTCCCCAGATCAAGGAACTATAGCACCCCCCCCCTATAATCCCTATTAAGGAGCGGTGAGTAGAAGGGGTAGGCATCCCTACTTGAGGATTTAAAATCCCACGGAGCCTGCAAGGGTAGATCCACGAAAGGCAGCGTGGTCGTGTTCAGGGTCTAGCTAGGTTGGCTTTTGGGACATTTTTCATACATTCCTTATTTGGGTTTATAAGGGACCATATATTTTGGTTTAGGGTGTAGGGTTTAGGGTGTAGGGTTTAGGGTTTGGGGTTTAAGAGGGCTGAAAAGCCGACCCAGCTAGGCTTCTGGCGAGGGTTTGCAGATTGCTGCATCCAGCCGACCGGCTGCTTCCTTAGGTTTAAAGCTACGACATGAGTTTAGGGTTTAGGGTTTAGGGTTTAGGGTTTAGGGTTAGGGGTTTAGGGTTTAGGGTTTAGGTCCTAGAAGCCCTGAGCCCGAATCCTGGCCCTGGGCCAAAGACCCGCCGGCGGCTAATAATGGGGGCCTGAATCATTAGAATGGGGTTTCAGGGGTTAATGTAGTATAACTACAAAGGGACCATAAGGGAATATTATTCGTAAGTATTCCGACCCCTATATTTGTGGCTTGGTGCCTTCAGAGCCCAAATGTGTCAGCGTGCCAATCGCGGACCCCAAGCTCTCTTTCACAAGGCCTGAATTTTCCCCGCCGGAACCTGAACGCCGCACAAGTCCAAAAGGCTTTTTTGTAGGCTGTAGACATCGACCCTGTTGCGATCCACCGTAAAGCCTTGTTTGTTTATGGTAGGATGCACAGCGCACGACCCTGCATGCAAGATTGTTGGACAGGCTTGCAAAACCAACGCCCCGAGCCCGTGAACAGCAAGCCCCACGACCCGCCTAGCCCACCCACCTAGCCCTTGACCGCATTCCTTTGGGGCAAGCCGCCCTCCCCCAACCTCTAGACCCTAACCCTAAACCCTAAACCCTAAACCCTAAACCCTAAACCCTAAACCCTAAACCCTAAACCCTAAACCCTAAACCCTAAACCCTAAACCCTAAACCCTAAACTTGGCCCTTAGCAGTAACTTGTTTGCTAGGGCGACAAGCCGCCTCCTTGAGGTTATGGAGTCCCTGAAAGCCGCGGAGACGAAAGTCCAAGATCATGCGGAGGTGGACGGTTCTTAGGGTTTTTAGGGTTTAGGGTTTAGGGTTCGGGGGTTCGGGGGTTCGGGGGTCCGGGGGTTCGGGGGTTCGGGTGTTAGGGGGTTCGGGGGTTCGGGGGTTCGGGGTTCGGAGGTTTATGGTTCGGGATCTGGCCTGACATTATGGGCTTACAAGGATGCTTCCTGAAAGTTTCCAGACCCTTTCCTCAAAGCAAATAGGTGGGCGACCTCCGGCGTGCCTTGAGAATTCCGGCGAAGTCCCAACACACATGGGAGTTTGCGACAATGGGGGGGGGTCCCTTTTAGGGGATTTTATTCGGTATTGAAAGGGGATACCCCTATTTTGGGGAACTACCCACATGGCCTCTGACCGAAGTTGCCACCCTGAACCTACTGTTTCAAAGTGTTGGAAGGTGGCCAAAGTCTTCTCCGACGACTTGAACCATGCCGGGGACCCTCCAATTTTGGCGGGACCTAGATGCTGATGTAAACCCTAAACCCTAAACCCTAAGCCCTAAATCCTAAACCCCAAACCCTAAACCGCCAAACCCCAAACCCCAAACCCCAAACCCCAAACCCCAAACCCCAAACCCCAAACCCTAAACCCTAAACCCTAAACCCTAAACCCTAAACCCTAAACTGTTAGACGTCTTGCTAGCTTCTCCGGAGTTTCGTTGCCACAAGGGGGCCCTCCATTCCGGCAAGCAAGGCTCTAGGCCTGCAGCTGCGTTGCCCCTCTGAGTCCTCACCCTTCCCTCAACCCCCTGAGACCCTAAACCCTAAACCCTGAACCCTAAACCGTAAACCCTAAACCCCTGAACCCTAAATCCAAAACCCGAAACCCTAATCCAGCCCCTGAACTCTGGTCATCTAGTCCGTCAGATCTGGATTCCTCAACTCTAACCCACGAAAGCCCTGAAGACCCCGAAGGCCCCAAAGCGACATCCATCGAAAGCCCCAAGCCCTTGACCCGACCCGAACCCCAAGCTCTGGGTTTCGGAGTACTATACTTTCATACTTCTTTTGCTTCTGGGCTCCTATTATAGTTACTTATACCTCAAAACCCTAAACCCTAAACCCTAAACCCTAAACCCTACAGTAAACCCTAAACCCTAAACCCTAAACCCTAAACCCTAAACCCTAAACCCTAAACCCTAAACCCTAAGTAGGAACTCGAGTTGCAACGAGGGTCCTTGCAGCACCTCCGAGGTCACTGAGGAGGCCGTCAAGGAAGCCATGGAGAAGGCAGTTTAGGGTTTAGGGTTTAGGGTTTAGGGTTTAGGGTTTAGGGTTTAGGGTTTAGGGTTCGTGGCCTTAAGCCCAGAAAGCCCCAAAGACCTATAAGCCCCACTTCGAGGTACATGGGGCTCTTTTGTACCAAAGTCGCAGGCAGGCGAGCGTAGAAGTGCAACCACCCCACCAGCCATCCTGGGTTCTATATGGGGGTTTGCGAAAGGAGGGGACCCCCCCATAATGGACCCCAAACAGTAGGATTCCCCCCCCTTATAGTAAGGACCAAGAAGGTACCCCTAGTATCGTAATCCCCCTAAACCCTAAACCCTACCCTAAACCCTAAGCCCTAAGCCCTAAACCCTAAACCCTAAACCCTCTACCCTCTACGCTCTACCCTAAACCCTAAACTCTAAACCCTAAACCCTAAAGGTGACGGGGCCAGGGCCACAAGGCCCTAAGGCCCCGAAGCCGAAGTCCCAAGGATGCCAGGGGTGGGCCCAACATCACATAGGGTTTAGGGTTTAGGGTTTAGGGTTTAGGGTTTAGGGTTTAGGGTTTAGGTTTAGGGTTTAGGGCTACTCGGTTCGGCGGACTCCCAACATCGCCTGCAATCCTACTAAAGCCCTGGTCACAAAAGCCCGCAACCTGCGAGAAGCCCCTGAAAGGCCGGAGGGACGGTTTCGGCTTGGGGGGCTTTGGGGGGTTGGGTTTAGGGTTTAGGGTTTAGGGTTTAGGGTTTAGGGTTTAGGGTTTAGGGTTTAGGGTTTAGAGTTTAGGGTTTAGGGTTTAGGGTGGCAGCTCCATGAAGTCCTCAGAAGCCCTTTTAGCTCCGAACTGGGGGCTTCCGAAGTAGGGGGGGGAGGGGTGCGTTTTTGTGGGTTTAGGGTTTCTGGTTCAGGGTTTCGGGTTTAGGGGGTTTTCCGAACTTCGGGGGGGGGGGAAACCTTCTTAGGGGTCCTTAGGAAAAGGGAACCCTAGCATTTGGGCGTCCATCTTACGGGTCCCCCCCTATGAACCTCAACTCCAAGAGGTGGGTGCCGCGGAGAAGGAGGCCTTGGATGTGCTCACCGAGGCTCATACTGGGGTTTAGGGTTTAGGGTTTAGGGTTTAGGTTTAGGGTTTAGGGTTAGTGGTTGCGTTTTTGGCTTATTGTTTGTGACTTTTGGGGGTTCGTGGTTAGGCTGACAGGGGTGCTCGGTGGGCCCTTTGGGGCATTTGACCTGTTTCGGGCTTAAAAGTTCAGTTTTTTTTTTCTCAGAGGGTTTCAAGGGCCACCCAAGGGTAAGTTCAGGGCGTGGGGGTTTCTGATCGGGGGGCCCTAAGGCCTAGGTGGGCAGTTCTCTGAATCATGGCTCTTATGCTACTTGAGCTGGGATGTTCCCCCCCTCATATGAACCGTCCTCAATAGGGATAAAAGTAGGGGGTACTTTCATCCTTATTAAGGACTGTCAGGACCAGGGGGAACATCCGAAATCAAAAGCATAAGGCTCCGCGTTGCAGTCGGAGACCCGTCGAGGGGCCATGATTAAGAGAACTGCCCTGGTGATTGGGCTGCCGCGTGGCTTGTAAAAGTGACCTCTCAGAAATTGGATGTGTGGGGGCTTGGGCTAGTGAGCTTATGGCGTCGGATTGGGTACAAGTAAGTCCGCAACCCGAGCCAAACTGCTAAACTTCCAAGCACCTTCTTTCCTTGGCCACATTGGCCAGGCACGTAAGCAGCTCACGGCCAAGCAGAAGGACGTCAAGGCACCATCTGAAATTGGTGTTGGGGTGTGTGGCTTGGGATGTTCCCCCTTCTACTAACAGTCCTAAGTCGGGATTGTAACAGGGGGTACGAAAATCCCTATGCAGGACTGTTAGCCCTAAGAGTATGCCGAGTAACATGCGAAAAAATCACCCTAAGCCCTAAACCCTAAACATAATAATAAGAGGAGAGGAGGAAGAAGAGAGCGGGTGATGTTTTGGCTGTCAAGTTCGCGTTGAATTTTTCGGGGGTAGGGGACGGCATCCTGCCAGCGTTTGACCAAGTAAGTGAAGATACTCGGACCTTCTGTCCCAGCAATCTCTGGGTGGGGTCCTTTGCCTGTGGACCCCAGGGTTTAGGGTTTAGGGTTTAGGGTTTAGGGTGTAGGGTTTAGGATTAGGGTTTAGGCGAGCTCCTGAGCCAACCCCCCCAAAAGAGCCACCCTGAAAGCCGACGCCCGGCTGAACCCTGAACCCCTGGACCCTGAACCCTGAACCCTGAACCCTGGACCCTGAACCCTGAACCCTAAACCCTAAACCTAAACCCGAAACCCTAAGCCCTAAACCCTAAACCCTAAGCCCGCAAGAAGCGTGCTCACGCTGCCGCAGGGGCCAGCGGCCGCATCGGCCATGAGCAAGCTCCAGGGCCCCGTGGCCCAGAGTTCAGCCTTTACATGATACTTGGAGGGTTTAGGTTTAGGGTTTAGGGTTTAGGGTTTAGGGTTTAGGGTTTAGGGTTTAGAGTTTAGGGTTTAGGGTTTAGGGTTTAGGGTTTAGGGTTTACGCCTTGGTACATGGCACTTAAGGCTTAGTGCAGATGTCGCATCCAAGAGTTTTACCGACCAGTCTCCCTAAAGGCCCTTGTTCTGCGAGCAGGTTCAGCTTCCGGGATGTAGGGAGGTGTTTTAGGCGGGTGGGGGGGGTCTTCAGGGTTTAGGGTTTAGGGGGGCGGGGGGGGGTTGGGGGCTTCGGGGGCTTTGGCACGTCTGGAAGTCTTTTTATAGATGAGTGCCGAAACCACCCTCTTGGGCCGGCGAGGTCGGCTGAAGACGGCAGCCGACGAGCTCACCAAAAATAAGAAGGCAGGGTTCAGGGGGAATGTAGGGTTAGGGTTTAGGGTTTAGGGTTTAGGGTTTAGGGTTTCTTGCAAAGATTGACGAAATCTAGGTGTTCTGTTGGTGTTGGGCATCTCGCATAAGCCTTAGAAACCATGACATGGGGTTTTACGAAATAGTATAGGGGACCCCTAGGACCCCAATAAGGTACCCCTAATTTCGGAAACCGCCCTAAACTCAAACCCTAAACCCTAAACCCTCAAACCCTAAACCCTAAACCCTACACCCTAAACCCTAAACCCTAAACCCTAAACCCTAAACCCTAAACCCTAAACCCTAAACCCTAAACCCTAAACCCTAAACCTCACCATATGTGTCACTCCTGAGCCCGTTTCGAGATTGTCCGCGTGCGCCCTGCAGGCCACGACCTTCGGCGATAAGCTGCTCAAGGGCAAAGAGGCCCTGCTTGGGTTTGCTTAGGGGCTCCCTTGCTTAGGGTTTAGGGTTTAGGGTTTAGGGTTTAGGGTTTAGGGTTTAGGGTTTAGGGTTTAGGGTTTAGGGTTTAGGGTTTAGGGTTTAGGGTTTAGGGTTTAGGGTTTAGGGTTAGGGCACCCCTATGTGGGCCCGAAGCCCCGAACCTTCAACTCCCCAACGCAAAGCATCTGTGACTTCACTGTGCACGGTGATCTCGTTGAAGCTTTTCTCTTTCATCTCATCGTCGCACTTCCTGCCTGAGGAGAACTTTGCTGCAGGGCTTTGTTTTTCCGGCTTCGACGTGTCCCACTGATTTTCTTTCCGGGTTGGGCTGCCTGATAATCTCGATTACAACAATTAGCGCACCTCTTCACCCCGAACCCTACATGGGGGTTTCCGCACTTCTTGGGGGTCCCTTATGAAGGGGATTCTATTCTTTCTTGGGGTATAAAAAGGAAGCCCCTATTGTGGGAAGTACCCATATACCGAAGAATTCCGGAACTCTGAATCCTCAAGGCAATGCTCCGCAGCCCTGAAGTCAAAAACCCCAAGCCCCATACCCTTAAATCCCCAACCCAAAGCCCTAAGCCCAACCCCTAAACCCTAAACCCTAAACCCTAAACCCTAAACCCTAAACCCTAAACCCTAAGCCCCAAGCCCCAAGCCCCAAGCCCCAAGCCCCAAACCTAAACCCTAAACCCCAAACCCTAGAGGCCCCCCTTCCACCTCAAGCGGACCCGACCTTCGAGGCCCTGGCAGAGGAGGTGGTCAACGTCGATAAAGCAGAGGCCGAGGCCCGGAGCCTCCCTCCTCCACCCCTTGGAAGGGTTTAGGGTTTAGGGTTTAGGGTTTAGGGTTTAGGGTTTAGGGTTTAGGGTTTAGGGTTTAGGGTTTAGGGTTTAGGGTTTAGGGTTTAGGGTTCAGCAGTGCAACTCTTCAGGGTTACAAGGTTTAGGGCTTTCAGGGTTTCGGGTTTAGGCTTGGAGGGCTGAAAGTTCAAGGCTCGAGGGTAGCTGAGCTATGAGCAAGGCTCTAAGCAAGGTAACCTGCATCCGTGTTGTAGCCCCAACTCAGGTATGCAAACTCCAAACCCCTCAACGCCCTAAACCCTAAACCCGAAACCCTAAACCCTAAACCCTAAACCCTAAACCCTAAACCCTAAACCCTAAACCCTAAACCCTAAACCCTAAACCCTAAACCCTAAACCCTAAACCCTAAACCCCAACCCTCTACACGAAAGCCACATCCCAGGTGGCCAAAGCAGAGAAGCTGGCCGAACCCGTGGAGGCCGTGGAGAACCCGACGGACGAGGACGATGTGTCGTCTAAGGCTTTTAAGGTTTAGGGTTTAGGGTTTAGGGTTTAGGGCTTAGGGTTTAGGGTTTAGGGTTTAGGGTTTAAAGTTTAGGGTTCAGGGTTTAGGGTTTAGGGTTTAGGGTTTAGGCCCCATAACATCTACTGTAGAGGTCGGAGTAATTACGAATAGTTTTCCGTTGTGGTCCCTTCACAATTGTTCTATGAGAACCCCCACAACCGTTCTCTTATTCTTAAGGCCGCTAGATTAGTCGGCTTCGTCTGATGGCCGTCAAGCATGAGGCCTCCATCCAAAACCTGTTTAGGATGGAGAGATGCTTGTAAAGCCTAAAGTATCCTTGAACCGACCACAATCCCAAGGCACCAGGGTCTTCGACCCGTCTCCCTACCCTAAACCCTAAACCCTAAACCCTAAACCCTAAACCCTAAACCCTAAGCCCTAAGCCCTAATAACTTCCTTGGAGGAGTGCGCGGAGCTGGGTGATGCCATCGTCCTTGCACAGAACACCATCAAAGCCACCACCGGGCGCCGCCCCCGGGAGCCCGGAACAAGTTAGGGTTTAGGGTTTGGGGTTTGGGGTTTAGGGTTTAGGGTTTAGGGTATAGGGTTTAGGGTTTAGGGTTTAAAGGTTAGTGGGGATTCTTCCTTCGCTCGAAGGCGTCGTGTTCAACGGGGGCCAAATCTCAGCATCTCCCGGTGCGCTGGTTCTTGTCAGGGGCTTAGGGGCTCATGGGTTTTCGCTTTCACGCCTCGCAGGGCTGGGGTAGGGACTGCTCGTGAAGCCACCGTAAAGCCTACACCAATTCCCCTGGGTGTAGGGTGGCAACCCTTTCTGTGTCCATGCAGAAGGGTTTAGGGTTTAGGGTTTAGGGTTTAGGGTTTAGGGTTTAGGGTTTACGGGCACATGACACCATTGCCCAGCTTCAGACTGAAGAGTCAATTTGAAAGCGCGCTGTCTACATCCCTCCACCCGCGAAGTCTCAAACTTCCCCCCGTTCTGTGCACTGAGCCTCAATCCAATTCATAAAGTAACCAACCCAAAAAAGGGTGCCTTTATTATAATGTGGTTACTGGGCTACTAAGGTTATAAGTTACGTTTCGAGATTATGGTTCTCTAGGCCCTCTCAATCCTTGCTTCAAGCCAGAGCCCAACCTCTGAAACCCACGCCTCCTGGGATGTGGCTTTCGTGTAGGGATTAGGGTTTAGGGTTTAGGGTTTAGGGTTTAGGGTTTAGGGTTTAGGGTTCAAGACGCACCGCCCCAACTTTAGGAAAGACTGGGGACAGGTCCATCCAAGCGAACATGGCCACGCCGGTGCCATCCATCAAGGCCGGCGGGATCGGACTTTCAGGGGAGGGAGCTCTGACTCGAAGGAATTAAGTATGACATTGGCCTTCTGAAACATGTGAGCTGTTGCGAAATGAACCTCCCAACACCTGGGAAGCAACTTAAGAGCAGCTTAGAAGAACTCCGCTGTCCCTTCCACATGCTTGTGGCTTATTGAAGTCAGCCCATATCCGACCCATGATGCCAGATATGCTCAGATGCAATGTGAGCAAAAGGGGGAGGGGGAAGGAGGGGGCCAAGAAGGGGGGAAGAAGGGGGGAAGGCGGGGTGGCCACGAGGTTCTTGCGCCAAAGGTCTCCATAGCAAAGGCCACCCTCCCTCTACCCCACCCGCTCTCCAGCCCACTCTCCCTCCACCTCACCCGCCCCCCGGCACCTCCGCCCCTTCCCTGTCTCGAAAGTTCGCATCCCGCGAAGCTCACGGGCCCTCAGGAGGTCAGTCGTCTAAGATTCTCACTTTGCGACAGCACCAGGAAACTTCGCATTTCTGCAAGGTTCTCGGAAGTTCGTGCGTTCCCGAAACTACTTGATTGGGTTTGGGCCTTTGTGATTCAGTGATTGGGGTTCAATGGCCTACTTGGAGGTTCATGGTGCTTAGTAACCCAAATATAAACGTACTTATATCGCACTTATAACCCTATTAGGTTACTTAGGGGGGGGCTTATAAGTGGGTTATAACTACAATTGTGTCATTAGTACCGTAAGCGAAGTAGGTTTCACAGCTTGCGACTGCAGATGTCGTGCCTGTGTTGGTTTATTTTCAGTCCCCAAACAGCGTGGCGACACCATGGGGTTCCAAGGTTTAGGGCTTAGGGTTTAGGGTTAAGGGTTTAGGGTTTAGGGTTTAGGGTTAAGGGTGGTAAAGGGTAAGGGGCCCTGATTGAGGTCTTATAGCGGCGCACGCGATCGCGCACGTGCGCACGTGCGTCTACCGTCGTCTACTACAGTTAACACGCTTGCTTTTGGTCAAAGTCGGGCTCTCGCCTAGGAAACGTCGCTTTCGCCTCGGTTCTGCACTGGGAAGTGCAGCGGTTTTGGAGTGTTCCTGGAATGCCCTTGAAGTGGTCTTAATATAGGGGTCGGATTAATAAATGCTAGTATTATTCCTTTATGGTCCCTGTATAATTATACTATATGACCCCCCAAAACCGTATTCTAATTATTCAGGCCCCTGTCTTACGCCGTTTTGGCCGGGTCTACGCCGGCATCATGTGCCTAGAGCCGGGCTTGGGGTCTGGGCATTGCAAGTTCAAGTTTGGGTCAGAGGCCCTAAACCCTAAACCCTGAACCCTAGACCCTAAACCCTAAACCCTAAACCCTAAACCCTAAACCCTGAACCCTGAACCCTGAACCCTGAACCCTGAACCCTGAACCCAAAGCCGCAGGCAGCCTTTTCCAAAGTGGCGGAGAGAAGCAAGAAAGTCCAGGAGAGGCTTGACAAGGTCTTGGTTCTGGCCTCGGACTCTTGAAAGCGGTGGGGGGGGGGGGGCCGGCAGGGCTGCATCTGAGCTTTTTACTATTTGCTTTAGAACCCCCCGAAAAATATGGAATAGAAATCCCTATATTACCCTCAGAAGGAAGAACATCTTATTTTTCCGGGCGATCTTCAGCAATTGGTAGTTTTTCGTGGTTCTTGTACTAGAAGGGATGCCGCGTGTGGCTCGAGCCACTGTGGTGGGCTGAGAGTGTCGGACAATCCTGGCAGAGCCGTCTCACACCTCACCGAGGCGGGCAAGAAGGGACTTCGTGAGCGCTCGCTGGGCGAGGCAAGTGGCTCTCAGGAGTTTTGATGGACAGTATCGGATTCTGTGCATGCTGGCCCTGGGGCTTTGAGGTAGAATAAGCCAGAGGCCTCGGACATCGCAGCATCGTCGAAAGAGCCACTGGGGGCATGCATTTTGTTGTTTTTTTGCTGCCAAGTGTTGCTTTATAAGATACGATATTCGGCGTCAAGGCGGCCTGGGTGACATCAGTTACGGGTACATCTCTGCCAGCTAGGACAAGGAACTGCAGGTTCCTCGGCATCCGGTTGTGCATCCGCGCGCGCCAGGCGTACGTCCGAGAAGGCAAGAAGAAGACAGATGCAGTGGACGGCTTCGTCGAGAAGGCGCGTAGCAACATCGGTTGATTTGCCAGTCAAGATGTGGAAGAGCCTCAGAGGCTAAACCGTACAGAGCCAGCCAAGCATCCAAGCCGTTGAGGTCTGGCAACGTACTTTGATAGAAGCCCTGTTTGAGATTTCGCCCTACAGCCTTGCGAGCATGACACATACAAGTGTGCTACGTCAGCAGCAGTACAGCAACAACTGCCTTCGAGGGCGAGAAAAAGCAGCTTGCTCAGCGTCCATCAAAGATCGCTAAATGCAGACTTCAGCCCCGAAGCCATCGAAAGCCTCAACCCCAAACATCCCCAAACATCACCAGACCGTAAACTTCAGCTGGCTGCTCGTTTAGGTGAACGACGCGGAGCTTCCATTCCTCAAGGGCATCGAGGTCCTGCCCCTGACCGAGGCGCAAGCAAGTTCTGCACCGGCGGGGTTTAGGGGGGTCTTCTGCGGGTTTTTTAGGGCTGCATACTGGAAGGTGAAGACAGCAGACTGCACCCGAACCTGCATCTCAACCCGAAGAGGCTCCCAAACCTGAACCCTCATGCTAACCCTGAACCTTGAACCCCAAACCCTAAACGGGCAGCGGCCTTGTGCTGCCTGCAACCCTGTGGGCGTCTTTGTCCAAGCGTACAAAACATCGGCAGGCGCGTACTTTTGGGCATGTGCGGTCAAGACAGAGGCCCCCAATTCCTGGACTCGAAATCGGATTTGGAGTCGGCAAACTACACGCCGCCGTTGTTTAGTTATAGGCCTACGTCGCAAAACAGACCCTGACCCCCAAACACTGACTTCAAACCAAACACACGAACCGAAGGCGTCGACTCGACTCTCAACCCCGCCAGAAGTGCGAACAAAGCCTGCACCCTAAACCCTAAACCCTAAACCCTAAACCCTAAACCCTAAACCCTAAACCCTAAACCCTAAACCCTAAAGCCTAAACCCTATGCACATGAGCGGGGCTGCCGGCATACGGCTTGTCTCCAAAACCCGTCATGCAAGCACAGTATGGGGGGGTGGGGGGGCTGCACCCCCTCACCGGGCTGCACCCCCTCACCCCCCTCCCAACCCAACCGGCATACAAGCACAGTATTGTCTGCATCAAGAGAAAATCTTGGGCGGCACAAGGCCTCTGCGCGACCCTAAACCCTAAACCCTAAACCCTAAACCCTAAACCCTAAACCCTAAACCCTAAACCCTAAACCCTAAACCCTAAACCCTAAACCCTAAACCCTGCTTACTTGCGTGGGCGATGTGGCAGGCGACCTCCACCATCGATGCCTCGCAGAAGGCAGCGACTGATCTGCAAAACGCCATCTCGGAGGCCCTCAGGGCAGGGTCTCGGGCTTTAGGGGTTTAGGGTTTAGGGTTTAGGGTTTAGGGTTTAGGGTTTAGGGTTTAGAGTTCAGCGGAGAGTCGGTTTTAGAGGTTTTAGACCGATTTAGACCTCGAAGGGCTTTAAATGAATCCATGTTCTGACTTTGATGGTCCTGACCGCGTGGTTGCTACCAACCCCATTCAAGATTTTCCCAGCCCCACATCTTTACTTCACTAGAACTTCGCCATGGCCATGGCTCCTGCACAGCCCCTGATATACCAGGCACGTAACTTCATTGCAGCGAAGAACGTGGAGCTGAAGGGCTTCTCTGACAAGGCCTTGATGGCGTTTTAGGGTGTTGGGGAACCAGCACCCCTTATTATTATTATTCTTATTATTATTATTCTTATTATTCTTATTGTTATTATTATTGAAGGCTCAAGGATGGTGGGTTGCAGGGAGTTCTTGCGCACGTGCTTTCATATCCCTCTTCTGGCCCTCCAGCAAGCTGACCTTGCCGGACCTGCATGCGGCCTGGCACCATCCGCTGCAGAGATGTCTGCATGTACATGCATGACCATGCGTTCAGATAGGCGGTGTCGCGCAGGCAGACAAAACACACACGTCACATGCAGCACTTGCACGGCAGGAGAAGACCAAGCCATTGATCGAGGAGCGGAATGCAGTGAGCCTGATTGAGCATCGACCCTCAACCTTCCTGGAAGTCATTGTCTCACACTGTGCCTGCGTTGCAGAGGTCCGAGTCCCAAACGAATCCTAAGCCCTGCCCTAAGCGGCTCGAGGCTGCTAGTATGTAGGCTTCGAGCTTAGCCCCCAAGCAGTATACTACCAATTGCTTAAGAACCCCCTCAAACATTAAAGTATTCTTCCTTATAAGGGCAATATAGAAATTTGTTTTTTGTCTTTTTTTTTGGGGGGGGGGGTGGTTCTTAAGCGAATAGTAGTGTAGATCTTCCAGGAGCTCACGTCCCTGACCGGCCGCATCAATGCGGCGGCCACAAAGCTTGCCTCGCCGCGGGCCCTGGGATTTTTTTTGGGGGGGGGGGGGGGGGGGGACGTTATGAGGGGTACCTTATTGGGGTCCCGACTCTAAGGGAATCCCTACTGTTTGGGGGGGGTCTATTCTAGGGTCCCCTATGTTCGTAAACCCCCATGTTGTGGAGACTCCCAGCAGCCCCAAGCGCTTGAAAATCCTAAACCCTAAGCCCTAAACCCTAAACCCTAAAGCCTAAACCCTGAACCGACACAACGAACGGAGCCCCCCCAGGTTCAGAAAGGACACCGACACCCGGAAGCCGGATCCTCAGCCTTCGAGCTTGCTGGTTAGGGTTTAGGGTTTAGGGTTTAGGGTTTAGGGTTTAGGGTTTAGGGTTTAGGGTTTAGGGTTTAGGGTTTAGGGTTTAGGGTTGGGGTTGAGGAAACCCTAGAGTTTAGGGTTTAGGGTTTAGGGTTTTATTGTTTAGGGTTTAGGGTTTAGGGTCTCGGGTTTAGGGTCTAGGGTTTAGGGTTTAGGGGTTTAGCTGGCGTTTCGTGTGACTGGAAACAGCTCCTCCAACTGAAGAATCCCCCTACGAAATTTTGAAGCTCAAGAACTCCACGTAACCCCTCTACAATCAGAAGGGTTGGCCAAGGGCCCCTGCGCTTTTCAACGACAATGCGCTAGGTAACCCAAACAAGAGGAAACCCTAAACCCTAAACCCTAAACCCTAAACCCTAAACCCTAAACCCTAAACCCTAAACCCTAAACCCTAAACCCTAAACCCTAAACCCTAAACCCTAAACCCTAAACCTTCCAAGCAAGCTGCGGCCGGGCCAGGAAGAACGCCTTGCTGCAGGAGGCAGGTGAGAAGATCGCCCACGCAGAGAAGCAGGCGAGGGGGTTTAGGGTTTAGGGTTTAGGGTTTGCACAGTTTAGGACACGTTAGGTCGGTGGGTTGTGGTGGCGGGGGCGTATTTTGTGGGGGGGGGGGGGGGGCCTTTAGGCTTGGAACGGTGCTTCAGCTCCGACGTGCTCACGGCCCTGGTTGGGGTCTAGGCTTAAGGGTTGTTCACCCTAAACCCTAAACCCTCAACCCTCAACCCTAAACCCTAAACCCTAAACCCTAAACCCTAAATCCTAAACCCTAAACCCTAAACCCTAAACCCTAAACCCTAAACCCTAAACCCACGTAGGAGTTTGAGGTTTTGAGTCCCTGCCGGGCTCTTGCCCCTGTGCAGCCACAAGCCAGGTGGAGATGGTCACAGAGGCTGCGGCGCCGCTCACTGACGAGGCGATGGCCGCAGGGTTTAGGGTTTAGGGTTTAGGGTTTAGGGTGTAGAGTTTAGGGTTTAGGATTTAGGGTTTAGAGTTTTTCCTTTGTCATAGTGGGGTAACATTTTACATTTTCAAGGGTACTTAAACTCAGTAAGGAATAGAAATGTAGCTTTTGAATACTATCCCAACCATGAACTAGAGTTGAAGCCGTGTTAACCGATAAGCATGAGGAGTGAGAGTCCTTCTGGACTCGGTTTGATCTATTGTCACTTTCTTTTAGTTTGCTAAAGTTTGATGTACTATCCCCCCTTTTTTCTAAATAGCGTCCCAACAGAAGCTCCTACAGACTTTTTTGAGTCAGCAGCTCGGTGGGAGTCTCCCTACACCCCTATTTGGAGGTTCATGGGTACTTAGAACCCCAATGATGACTGTCTCAGGATTAGTACAGTCAGCGTTCTGAATTCGGGCGGTTTGTGTGGCTTCCTTACTGTAGCGCCTGCTGGATGCCGCCGCTGCACTTTCCGGTTCCTGTTGGGGCAAAGGGTTCAAAAGGGAGATGTGATGCATGTTGGTTTGTGCATGCTCTGAGTTGTGGCA